TGGGAGTTGATTTTTATTCTATTTTCTTCTTGACCGACCCCCTCCCTCCTTTAAATGTCGAGGATTTTCTATTTAGTGATTCCCCTGACCCAGTTTCAGAGCCATCTCTTACAGATTACTTTGGAGTATTAGTTGTTTTAAACCTAAGCCAACAATCCTCTGTGTGATTTCCTGAGAACAATATATGAGGCCTGCAAGAAAGTGATCATATAATTGTATCTTCACTTTCTTTTTATTTTTGTATTACATTAGGATGCATTGTCATGCGTATTTTTGGTAGAATAAATTCTCCTTTGCTATAAGTAGATTTCTTATTTTTTCTCCCCCTCTTTCTCAAGTCTCATAACGGTTTCTTTTTCTTCCTTTAGTCTAACTTGGTAAATAAAATTCTGGTCACAATTTATCTTTTTCAATTTTAATATATTTATTAAGGTGACATGTTCAAAGTCTTCAACAGACTGACAGCAAAAGAAAGCCAGAAAATGTCTAGGGCTTCAGACAAGTGTTTTTTGCGTTTTTTTTTTTTTTTAAACTTTTTTATTTTTAAAGGCTATGGATTTGGTTTTCAGTGTAGAGGTTCAAGCCATAGATTTAAACTGGTAATAGAAACAGGATTGGGCAGCCTAAGAGGTGGGCCAAGCCCAACCTTTTAAAAATGAAGAAATAAAGTGCCTACAGAAACCCCCAACTCCAGGAATGAGTAACACGGAGTTTCTTTAACAAGCTACCAGTCTCCAGGTCAACAACTAAGTTATCAACGATTCATTTATTTATATAACACGTTTGTTTCAAACATCTATATTCCAACCCCTCACCCACAAATCCCTGCACATTTGCAGTGTGGTTGATTACTCTCCCAGCTGTTGATGGGTTCAGGCAAAACAGACCTAAAAGACAGAGAAAAACAAAAGTAAAACAAAACGATGGTTATTAGCTGGAAAATGCACTTCAGAAAGGGTTATTTCCAATCCTCTGATTCAGTCATTGTAGGCTTCTTCTTCTTCTTCTTCTTCTTTTTTTTTTTTCAGGGTCAGAAAAATCAATATTTCATTCTTAAATCTGTTTACATTGCTAATAATGGATCATTAAAGTTTTGAAGTCCGGTTAGCAAGTTGAGATTTAAAAAGGAGTGTTTCTGCACCCGGGGTTATAAATTAATACCATTTCTAGAGAAAGAGAAAATGCACTTTAAATGAAATCCCAATAAAATGTGATCTAGGGTGTGTTACTGGGTTGTTCTGTTTTTTCCCTCTTCTTATGTCTCCCTCATGTTTATTTTTCCCTTTCTGAGCTCTGCTCTGATGACTACTTACCGTGAGAAAACACAGCATGTAAGCAACATGTGTGTGGCGGGTTGATTTAAGAACCGGCTCTTAACAGCAAAGACTTGGAAGTTATGAAATAGCAATCTTTCTTCGTGGGTTTGCTTCCTACCTCCCCTCACTCCTTCACCCCCTAAATCCCGGCAGCGGCGGAGACGTGTGGGGACTGCAGCCGGTTTCCGGCCCCAGGCTCAGCGCCGAGCAGGGCGTCCCGGACGAAGCCAGGGCTGAGCAGCTACTGGATGCGATTCGTCCTACGCTCATAAATCAAACGCTTTCTATGAATGAGAATGTCATCAAAGAGATCAATTGCAGGAACACATGCACAAATAAAAACCCTCTTACGTATTTGCTGGGGATCCCCGTCCGAAAGCATTAAGTTAGAAGGCAAAAGTCATAATTCATTTTTATTGCTCTTTTAAAACAACAGCTTGGCTGAGCCGCGGATGCCATGAACAGCTCGGGGCCTCGGCGGCGTTTCGTCTCCTACTCGCTCCTTCCCTTTCCAGTAGAAGAACCCTTAAAGAGGCGCTTCCAGTCGAGCCAGCCGCTTGCCGGCGATCATTTGAGTAGTGACCAAGCTCACCCTTCACCCACCCTCCTGGACTTTTTAAAGACTTTAGCTCGAGTCTTAGGGCGCGGGCCTACTTGCGCAGAGGACCAGGGGTCTGCTACGCTGCGGAAAGGCTCCCAGGCTTTCTTGGGGGGTGGGGAAGGAACCGAGCTATGGAAGCCTATGGGCTCGAGGCCAGAGGAGGCTGCCTTTGTGAACCGCTGGGGAGAGCAGCGCTCTGGGCGGCCAGCCGAGGCGGAGCCGGCTAGGCTGAGAGCGCCCGGCCTGCAGCGAGCCAGGAGCAGCGCGCGGAGGCAGGACGATCGCTGGCCTGTGCGTCTTTGGACCTTTGTGCGAGTGCAAGCTTGTGATCCCAGGAAAAACACCGAGCCAGGCTGCTCCCGAAAAGAAGCCAGGGGAAAGGACGAGCGGTGGAGAGAGAAGAGCGCGGAGGACGAGAACTAGCAGAAGGGGGAGACACCTGCGGCCGTCCGGGAGGCTTTGTGGCTGGCGCCCTGCGGCCGAGGGGGTCGCGCAAACCCGGGCGGAGGAGGCCAACAAAGGTACAGGAATGAGGCAAGGAGGGGAGAATATATCGACTGGCTTCGGCTCGGACAGCAGATGGTCCGCACTGCCGGCACCGACCCCCTCACACCCTGCCCTCTCCCCTACTGGAGCGCCTTCTCTCCCCATTGCTGGAGGCCTGGCATTCCCGAGGAAGCCGCCTCCAGGAGGGCCGCCTTGCCTTTTCCCTTGTCCAGAACGAAGATTCCCAAGAGCTGAAATTGGGGTAGGGACGACCTTTCCTGCCCGTGCTCCCTCTTAACCATGCTTGGGGAGTGGGTGAAAGGTCACAGAGAAATACCCTTCCAAAAGGAAATGTTTGGGGGAAATGTTTCACTGCGACTTAGAGAGTCCAGAGTCAAAGGTCTGCACGGGTTTGCCTCTGGAGGGGACAGGTTTGGGGGGAACTTCTATACGTGGAGAACAGAACATAGAAGCCGGAAAGGGTGACTAACACATTTGAAAAGTGCCTTCCTCTAGCAAAACTTCCTTCTTCTAAGAGTGGTTGGAAGACTGAAGGGGAGTAGGAACCCCAACCCACATACAACTCTCACTGTAAATTTCATCTGTCTTATTACGATGTTGTAAACATGGCCAAAGTAAAATCTATACAGCGTCCGTTGTAAATCTTCTTGGATGATCTCTGGATTTCTTCTATCTAAGAAAGCATCAATTCTCAGTCTCCATTTGGCCTTTTCTCTCTACAAGCCCAGGGCTGACACGAAAACTAATAGTAAACAGCAATTAATGACCCCATCAGCATCAGGGAAGGATGAGGGTGATGGAGAACAGGACCCCCTGGCCTGGGATGACGCTCAGATTTGCACGTGTCTCTCCAGGGAAAGATTTGAAGGTTCACACAAGCAACTACACAGTCAGTTGAAAAGAGGAGGACGTGTTGGGAAGAGGAAAGTGTCCTGTCCACCATCAGCCATCTGTCCACCTCCCCTCCCACCTGCCAGCCCCCACCCCCACTCCAGGCGTGCAGTAGAATGGAGAGGGAGGGGGAAAGAGAAGGCTCGCCTACTCCAAACATCCCCCTCCAGAAAAAGAGAAAAGTGGCGGGGGGAGTTTAGCATACTTTGTTGGGGCCGCGGATCAGCCCTTCCAGGCCCGTGCCGGAGCGCACAGGCTCCTGGGTCTTGGGGAGCCGGCAGATGGCCTGCAGCTCGCGGCCCGGCCCCCACGCTGGCCACGTCGGCTAGCGTCATCTCTCTCCCCCGCCTCCCACCCTACAAAATCCAGCGGCAGGGTTGCTCGGGATCCCGGAGGACTCCCAGAGAAAGCTGAGTGGGGAAGGAGAAAGGGGCGGAGAGCGAGGAGAAAGGGAGGGCGGAGAAGGACCCGGCCACCCCCAGCCTTTTCCGGCTAGCTCTGCTTTAAGACCTCACCCACCCCTGGGGGTCGAATTACAGAAGGTCCTCATTGCCATGCTAATGGCGAGCCTGGGCTGTAGGAAGAGGGCTATGGAGATAAAGGGAGGGCGGAGAAGGACCCGGCCACCCCCAGCCTTTTCCGGCTAGCTCTGCTTTAAGAGCTCACCCACCCCTGGGGGTCGAATTACAGAAGGTCCTCATTGCCATGCTAATGGCGAGCCTGGGCTGTAGGAAGAGGGCTATGGAGACCCTCCAAGGAGGAAGGAAGTCTCTTTTCTTGCCCTTGTTCTCTCCACGCCCACCCGGGTTCCTCCCAGCCAGCCCGCTGCGCACGTTCCTCTCCATTCCGAGTTTGGAGAGCCGGTGGCCCAGCCTCTTTCTCTGCCACCGTTCTCAGCGCTCCTCACAGCCCCATGGCCTCACGGCAGGGACTGTGCCGTGGACGCGCCCTAGGAACCTGGGGCGCGGTGTCTGCCGGTTTCCCACCCTTCCTGCTCGGCGCGCTTCGGGGTCGCCCAGCGTACTTGAGTCCACCCAGCGAGCACTGGCCCGCTGATTCCCGCCCCGAGAGAGCCGGATGCCCTCTTCCATTCTCACCTCTTACCAGTTCATCTTTCTGTGCAAGGTGGGGAGGGGGACGGAGGTGGGGGATGCCTCCCAGCCCCCACCTCCCGGAGGGTGGGGGGCGAGCGGAGTCGGGCGCGCGCAGAAAGCAGCCTTTGCTTCCCTTCGCCCAGCGCTCCGAGTCTGCCGTTGCAGCCGCCGCAGCTGCTGCAGCCGCCTGGGCTGCCTGGGGGGGCGACTGCGCGTCACCTAGACGGAGGAGCGCCGGGGATTTAAATGCCACTGAAACAGTGATCCATCACCGCCGAAGCCGGCAAACTTTCGCAGGAGGCTCAGCCATTGGCTGACAAAGTCACGTGCCCCTCCCCTTGCGCCCTGTGCCCTCCCCCCCC